TCAACTTGAGCTTTTCTTCATTGGGGCAACCATTTGCAAGATGTCCCACTTTATGGCACTTGAAGCACATGAAATGAGAGAGCTTCTCGTGTTCTCTCTTCTTCATCTCTCTTTCATATCTTCTCTTGCCCCATCTCTTGCCTTTGATCTTGCTCTTGTTGAAGCCAATGCCACTTATGTCATTGTGGCTTTCTTGATGATTTACTTTGCTAGTCTTCAAGCTGACTCCACTCTTGTCACCAAAGTTTCTTTGAGTCTTCAACATATGCTCAAAGGTGACTTGAGAGTTGTAGCAGCTCTCTAACTTGTTGCTCAATTTCTTCACTTGTTCATTAAGTGCTAAAAATTATGTTTGTTATGCTGTCTGGGTGACCTTTGGTTTCTCATAATGTCTCAAGGGCAGTTTGGTCATTTCATGTGCCACTTAACGGTGTTAGAGGCGGGAGATGATGGTAAGGCCATATTGGAAAATGAAACTTCGAGTGAGGCTAAATAGGTAAGAAATTTTGTTTAAGGACCAAGGAAGAAAGACAACTTTAAACCAGGGCTAAATAAAAACTTGCCCCTTGACTGGCATTCCTAGCACAATGGAGCAGGACATTAAAGCAGATGACTGAGTGGTAGGTGAAGTGGTGGGTTCCTCGGCTGATGGTGTGGGTGGGAGAGGAACAGACATGCCGCCTGTTCAGCTGTGCAAGTGGCACTGGAAAAGCTGCTTGATGGTCACGTGATGACGTGAGGGGGCAACGAAGACAGGAAATAGTGGTTGATGACGTGGATCGTTGTGGGATCAAATAAATCTTCTAGTGGTGTTTTGCTTTATAAGAGTTATAGATATGTTCAATTAGCTGATAACTTTGGTTTAATTGCTTTATCATACAAATTCACTGGATATCGGCTTCATAGTCGATAGTTTGTTGCATTCATCGGCTCTCTAGTCGATATCTCATGGAACTGTCTGGATCTCAAGCTGACACGTTGCACCTTAAACGACTGATTATCTTTTCCCTTGTCAATTGCAGGTCAAATTGACCGGCACACCCTAGATCCCAAAATCGACAGGACCTGCACTGAAGCTAAGCAGATCTTCTAGGCTTGTCGTGTGTTCGTAGCCTAGTTTTTGTGTCAACACACTCACATGTCTCATTATTCTCATATCAATTAGGCCCCGTTCGCTTCGCTGAAAAAACAAGCCGAAATACTGTTCCGGTTGATTTGTTGTGAGAGAAAACACTGTTCTGGCTGAAAAAACAAGCTGAAAAGTACGAATTATAAAACAAGCGAATAGGACCTAAGTCATTGATGTTTAGTCAGAACACCGTATTCCTGAAAAAAAGAAATGGAATGAATATATTCATGTTTTGATGGGTTCTGCTGCTACGAGATGTAGCCCAAATTGCAGCAGTCATTGGCCATAGTTCGAGTTTAATGGTCATGCTCACACCTGGTGGCCACTAGGCTGGTTTGTATAGATACCTTGGTGACCATATGTTATAGCCTGTGCGATTCGCTGAAAAGACAAGCTGAAAAGTATTGTTCGTTGATTTGTTACGAGAGAAATGGCATGTTCGTTTGGTCGTAAACGATCGTAAATTTTCAGCCAGCAGTACTTCTTCACGATTCAGCAACGAACAAGCCCAACCAAACGAACAGGTTGAAAAACATTATTTCTTGGTTGAAAAAGTACGACCAAGAGGACAAAAGGCCTGTTGTGTAACGTTGCTGTCAATTAGAATCTGGATCGAAGCTGAATCTTTTGGTGGTAGTCATGCTGCTGTCAGACATAATAACAAGTGGTAACAGGCCATTAATTGCTGGTAACTGCTTCTAGTGGTACCAGCCAGCCAGTAATAGGCAATTTAAAGTTCTGGTGTTACCTTGTGATTCTAACAAGTATTAGGTCACACAAACACAATATTGTGGGATTTTAAAGCTGGTAACTACACAAGGCTGTGTCTATAGAAAATATATAAATTACGTGGAGCTGAACGCCTTTTTCTGTAATCCTGCTTTTTGAAAAATTTCTTATACTTTACTTTTCACATAATAATTTGTTTTTGCATTTGTATTTCACCTTTGTAGGTTCATGGACCTGGAGCTGATATTGATACACTGTGTTGGACCTTCATATGTGAGCCGTGAGGTGATTTTTTTGTTTTGCTACACATTGGTGTGGTGGTTTATATATTAGAGATAGGATTTTACTAACATATGATTCTGTTGGCAGGAAGATTTTTTTATTGTACTGCATGGGATATGAGCACAAACAGAGGATATGACTGAGCTGCAGCCTGTACCTGATGCACATGTCCCCACTTAGTATGTAAGTTTCTTACCAGATGTTTTCCCCAGTTAATCAATTGTTTATCTGTTCAACTTAGACAACTTATTTCACGAGGTGTTTGAACTTGTATCATAAAGATTTTTATTTTCCGTTGTTTGGTACTGCAGTTTGGTGGCTGGAACATGGCTCCTGGTACTGCTAGTTGCTGGCTGCAGTTGGCTGGAACTTGTTTGGTGGCTGAAACTTGTATATTAAAATAACTTTGTATTCATGTTTGTGTTGTGTTTTTTATGGAGACATGGCTGGATCATGTATTGCTGTATGATGCATGATTGGAACATACTTTTGTATTGGCTGCAACATTATTTATGGATGAGGATTATGTATGTTATAATATGGATGAATTTTTAAGTGGGCCAGCCTACAATGGCTTGGACCGTAATGTTGGGCCTCAATGGATAAAAACAAGCCAATTTGTTGCTAGGCTAAAAAATTATTTGGGCCAATTGGGCTGATTCTAAATAAAAATATTAATGAAAAAACCATGCTATATGGGCCAAATGTTCATTGATATGTCACCCACCATGTCATTTGCCATGTCATCTGTCACGCCACATGTGCCATGCCACCATACACGTGGCGGTACTCTGTTCAATATGTTATGACGAGTTTAGTGTTGTCAGAAGTCAGTAACAGGAGAACCTATTGTCAGTGTATCAAGACAATGTCCCCTGGTGGTCATAGAAGCTAGTTAGTGACCCATATTCTATGACAATAGTCACTTCATCACTGCAGACAGTCAGTGGAAACAGTTTGTCTTCATCATTATCTAATTGTCATAAAAGCCCATATTTCTTGTAGTGGAGGCCTGCTAAGGTAGAGGGCTGGGGAGACGGTCTAATGCCCGCTCCGCATCTGAGGCATCGAGATGGCCATCCTCATCCTCAGGCCAGTGACGAGCCTTGGAACGTCCCCTCGAGCGCTCCCATGGGTGGAAGGGTTGGCCGAAAGGGAGAGAGCGAGGTTGTGGCAGGGCGACCCGAGGCAACCTGTGGCACCAGGCTGAGTTAGCCGCGCATTGCGCTCACTATGACGGACGGCGACCCGGAGACAGGGGAGTTCCCCAGTGTCGGGCCGCGCGGCCTAGATTCGTGCCCACCAGCCCCCCCACGCACGTGATAGGCCCACCGTCAACCTGGCCGATGGCGTCCGCAAGGGAACTGACCATCGGTGGGGGAGCGGTCGTTGGCCGCGTTGGCAATTGCGTCTTGGACAGCGATAGTTGCGGCCACATGACGGCGACATTCCGAAGTCCTTGGCGGCGGTGGCCACGCGGCAGGCGCTCCAGTGCCGTCTCCCCCATGCAACTAGGTCGACGGGTAGGAAGCCGCTGACGGGGAGGGAGCGACCGCCATGGACGATGCCCACCCTAATGGCGAAGGTGCGACGGGCCTGCCATGGCCGACGCCAGCGCGCAGCTGGTGGAGGGAGGGGGTGGGGGAAGGGAGGGGAGGGGAGGGAGGGGGCCACACCGGCGTTGGGGCGATGGCCAGCGGCGGCGGCGACGACGATAGGGAGGAGGCGGGGGCCGCCACGATGTCACCCTAATAACGGGCCTTTATGCGAGCCCCATGGCCCATCAAACTAAATGCAAGCAAAACAATGGTTTGCAGCTGACTTCAAACTGTCAGGTAACATATTATGGCATGGATTAACATAGCGAGAAGAATTGAGCTGACAGCGTGACAACAAACAATCTGACAACAAAGCATGCCCTAGATTATAAGATAAACCAGAAAGAAATTGTTGGAACATCAAATAGCTTGCGTAACATCCTTGAAGAAATGCCAAGAGGCACCACCAATTGTAGCATGAGACACCAAAAATCACTATTTTGCCAATGTTTTTGGCTCTGTCTCCGTTTCAGGTGACTAATGGTTTGCTTAACCATCAGTCACCATCCCAATCTCATGGCTCCTTGCGCACGGTCTTCTTCTTCTTCCTCTCTGCCGCCCCTCCTCCACCTCGTCCTCACCCCCGCCGCCGCCCACCCTCCCTACCGCGGCGTGCTAGGGTTTTGCCGAAGCTCGGCGGCTGCGGCTGTGGCCATGGAGCTCTGGTGAAACCTTAGCGCGCCCACGACGACCACCATATTCCCCTCCCCCCTCCTTCCGCGGTGAGCTTCGGCCATGGAGCTCCCCCGCCCCAACCTGGCACGGCTGCCCACACCGCCGTCGGGGCCCCTAAACCGCCCTACCACCGTCCCCACCGCCTAGCCAGCCTTCCTCCCCCCGAACCCCTTTCTATGCCTGCCGGAGATGGAGAAGAAGTGAGGAGAGTTGGAGAGAGGGGGCAGTGAACTAGACGCTGGCCTAGGTCCTCGTTGGAACCTTAGCTACGGGCATGGATAAGCAGGATAGCAGGCTATTGCGTTTGAGTAATTCTGAATGTTTACGTTTGATACTAGATTCAAGCTATAATTTTGGTATCTGAGGACCATAGAAAACCTTAACATCAAAACAGAAAATTGACTAGTGTCTTGGATCTCATTAGCAAGGACACAAAGCACAACGCTACTGCTTAAACATCTCCATAGGAATTAGGATAGATATGTCTACCTGGCAGCTGAAGAACAGTCTACCTAAAGACACAAGTACAGTCTACCTGAAGACACAAGTCCAGAAAACATCAACAGCCATTGCCAAAATACCAAGCATTACGGAACTAGATTGCCAAGCATGACAATGAACTCCTCCATAATAGAGGGGCAGCTACTGGTCAGAAGCTTGAAGCCATCACTTGCCACGACCGCCCTCAGATTCGCGGCAGAGCTAAGAAACTCAAAGCACGCCTTGTTTAGCCTTTGGCAATGGTGCTGCTCAGCTAGCGTCAGTATTGCTGCCACCGTGCCAACATCAATGTACTTGCACAGCTTGTCCTCGCACATCAACTTTAGCCTCTCCATGCCGTACCTGTTCGCCGCGACCAAGAGATGTTGCGCCATGACGTCTTCTTTCTCCTCTTTGTTAGATAATCCACTATTACCTTGTGTGAACACAGTCAGGGAAGGCGGCGCCAAACTGGCCCCCTGCTATGATATTGTAGCCGCTGCAGGTGCAAGCGCCGCACGGCTCACCTACAGCATTGTAGGAACATGCAGTGGTCGACGTAGAGTCAGCCCTGTCAGTGTTATCTAGTTACTGTTGCAGCATGTGCACTGTAGTAGGACTAGATGGATAGAGTTGTATAAATAGACATACATGATAACTCAGTAAAGAGAGTTTAGATTTGCCATCTCATAGACAGGGCTTCGGCCAATGCTGGTGTCTTGTATTGTGCGTGCTTGCTCTGTTCTCCCTTCTTCTTCTAGCTCCAGCCATAGTGTGTGGGCACGGACAATGCCTGTTCATGGTCGGCACGGCTAGTGGGTGCTCGACAACACTAGCGGGTGCTCAGCAAGACCGATGAGTGGTTCACTTGTCTAAGTCGGTGATCTTGTGGGCCAACAAGTGGTATCAGAGCCATGCAAGCGCCATCGCCAGACTAACCGCTGGCGATGATGGGCGGTTTCAGAGATGGGCGATAGCAGTGGCACTGCTGTGGCTGCCTAGCCACGACCGGAGGTCGTTGTTCGCATGGTGCGAGAGATCAGCGGCACCAGTTGGCCGACGCTAACTCGCACCAACTATGGAGAGTGGTCGGTGACCATGAAGGTCAAGCTCAGAGCCCGATGGCTCTAGAATGATGTTGACAATTTCACCGACGTGGAAGAAGACGACATGTCAGCATTGGAGGCTATCCTCGCTGCTGTACCGGCAGAGTATAGGGAGCCGTTGGAGGCAAAGAGCTCGACTAAGGAGGCATGGGAGGCTATTTCGGGGATGCGCGTCGGTTCCGACGCGCAAAGAAGGCGACGGCCCAGCTTCTAAAGCAGGAGTATGTAAACCTCAAGTTCAAAGATGGTGAAACGGTGGAGGACTTCTCCCTTCGCCTGCAAATGTTCATCAGCAAGCTGAAGAGCCACGGCGTCACCATCGACGAAGAGGAGGCGGTCTCCAAGTACCTCCACTCTGTACCGGCGAAGTACATCTAGACCGCTCTCTCCATAGAGACGATGCTGGACTTGTCCACCCTCACCATTGAGGATGTGACAGGCTGTCTGTGGGTGGTGGACAAGCACCTAGAGCAGGCGGCAACAACGAAGGTCAGTGGGAAACTCCTGCTAACGGAAGAGGAGTGGGCTGCTCAGAGGAACTCTAGGAAGGCAGCCTCCTCCAGCCGCGGTGTTGATGGCAAGTGCCACGGCAAGGCTTCTTCGAAGAAGAAGCAGGTCGACTCCAACGCCTGCCGGCGTTGCGGGAAGATGGGCCATTGGGCACAGGAGTGCCCAAACTGCAAGCAGGAAAAGAAGGCCTAGGCTCATCTGGTGCAAGCCGATGATGAGGATGAGGCCACTATCCTGATGATGACGTTCTATGCACTGCACGACGTCGAGGCCGAAAAGAGAGAGGAGGCGACGATGGTGGAAGGACCTAGGAAGGCCCTGAAGACCGTCAACCTCAATGAACCATGCGCCCAAGTCCACCTCGGGCATGTGGGCGTCGACCAGGAGCAGTGGTGGTATCTGGACTCTGGTGCCAGCAACCACATGACGGGCTCCAAGGCAGCCTTCTCCAAGCTCGACGGCAATGTTACCGGTACGGTGAAGTTTGGTGACGCCTCTCGGGTGGCAATCCAAGGGCACGACACCATCATCTTCAGGTGCCAGAACGGGGAGCACCGCGCACTAACGGATGTATATTACATCCCACAGCTACGTTGCATCATCATCAACATTGATTAGCTGGATGAGCATGGTAGCGAGGTACTGATCAAGGACGGTGTCCTTAGGATCAGGGACCGGGAGCAGTGACTTCTTTCCAAGGTGAAGAGGTCCCTAAACCGTTTGTACCTGCTCGACCTAAAGGTAGAGCAGCCAGTGTGCCTGGCAGCAAGGCACTCTGAGGAACCATGGATGTGGCATGCCCGATTCGGACATCTCAGCTTCGACGCGCTTGGTTGGCTAGAGAAGATGGTCCGAGGGCTACCCCACATCAAGCATGGAGGTGAGCTGTGTGATAGCTGCCTGGCTAGGAAGCAGAGGAGGCTACCTTTCCCAAAGGTGGCCAAGTATCGCGTGAAGGAAGCTCTCAAGCTCATTCACGGCGACCTCTGCGGGCCGATCATGCCTGCTACTTGCGGTGGTCGGTAATACTTCCTCCTGCTCGTGGATGATTGCAGTAGCTACATGTGGCTGTAACTCCTGATGAGCAAGGACGAAGCGATGGCGGCGATCAAGAAGTTCAAGACACGCGCCGGAGGCCAAGAGTGGCAAGAAGCTCCGCATGCTGAGGACTGATTGCGGTGGTGAATTCACTTTGGTGGAGTTCGCTGCATACTGCACGGATCAGGGTGTGGGGCAACACCACACCACGACGTACTCGCCACAACAGAATGGCATGGTGGAGCGACAGAACTAGACGGTGGTTGGCATGGCCCAATCCATGATGAAGGCCAAAGGCATGCCAGCGAGGTTCTAGGGAGAGGCAGTGACCACAGAGGTGTTCATCCTCAACCATGCTCTGACCAAGCCTCTGATGGGCAAGATGTCGTTCGAAGCTTGGTATGGGTGCAAGCCGAGCGTGTCCTTCCTTCGGACATTCGGTTGCATCAGCCATGTCAGGAAGACGAAGCCGAACCTCACCAAGCTGGAGGATAGGAGCACACCGATGGTGTTCCTAGGCTACGCAGAGGGTACCAAGGCGTACCAGCTCTATGACCCACGTGGAGACAAAGTGCTTGTCTCGTGCAATGTCATGTTCGACGAGAAGGCGGCTTGGGACTGGAGCAGTCCGAGCACGGGGGAAGCTGGCGGCTTCACCAACACCTTCGCCGTCGAGCACTTGGTCATCCACGGTGGTGGAGACGCTGGGGAACAGGTGCCGAGCACTTCGGGAGTAGCACCGAGCACTCCGGTGGTAGAGTCAAGCACTCCTAGGGCAGTGCCGAGCACTTCAGGAGGGATGTCGAGCACTTCAGGAGGGATGCCGAGCACTTCAGGAGGAGTGTCGTGCACTCCTGAAGGGATGCCAAGCACGCCAGGAGTCAAGCCGGGAGGTTCTACAGTGGTGGCGACCACTTCAGGACGGGTGCCGAGCACTCCCGCGGCAGAGCCAAGACGTCTTGCTATGGTACCAACCACTCCAAGACTAAGGCTAGGCACTCCTACAGTGTGGCCGAACATTGTAGGAGTTATAACGAGATATCCAAAAGCAGTGCCGAGAACTTCAGGTGCTATGCCGAGCACTCCGGCAGAACAGGGAACTCCATCGACGCTGATTGAGTTCGTCTCACCTCCAAGTGACATCACTGAGTTCATGGACGCCTACCATGAAGGTGAGGAGGTGTGGCTCCACAGGCTGGATGACATCGGCGGTGGCACAGGTCCCTTAGGTCTGGCGAGTAGGCTTCTCAATGAAACAGAGCTGCTACTCATCAATGCAGAGGAACCACCCACATCCGCACTAGCCGAGCATGATGGAAACTGGCGACAGGCGATGCTAGAGGAGATGAAGGCGATCGAGGAAAATGAGACTTGGCAGCTCATCGATCCACCTCTAGGATGTCGTCCGATCAGCCTGAATTGGGTGTACAAGGTCAAAAGGGATGAGCTCAGCGCCATTGTTAAGCACAAGGCGCGTCTTGTTGCCCGAGGCTTTGTTCAGCGTGAGGGCATCGACTTCGAGGAGGTCTTTGCACCAGTAGCGCGCATGGAGTCGGTTCGTTTGCTACTAGCCTTGGCAGCAGCAAAGGACTGGTGCGTCCATCACTTGGATGTTAAATCGGCCTTCCTCAACAGCGAGCTAGCGGAAATGGTCTTCGTCAGGCAACCTCCAGGTTTCGCCATCAAGGGAGAGGAGCATAGGGTGCTCCTACTGCGCAAGGCGCTCTACGGGCTACAACAGGCCCCTCGAGCATGGAATGCCAAGCTTGATGCCACGTTGGGTGAGCTTGGGTTTGAAAGGTGCGCAACTGAGCATGCGCTCTACATGCGATGATGGGGGAAGGAGGAACTCGTGGTCGGTGTGTATGTGGATGACTTAATCGTCACTGGCGTGCACATAGAGGATATCAACAGCTTCAAGCGTGAGATGTCGACTCGTTTTTGAATGAGCGATCTCGGCGCACTCTCCTACTACCTCGGCATCGAGGTGAGACAAGGGAAGGAGGAACTCATGCTCGGGCAGAGCGCGTATGCCTCCAAGCTATTGGAGAGGAGCGGCATGGTGGAGTGCAAGCCATGTGTGACTCCGATGGAGGAGCGGCTGAAGCTGACGAAGGCCAGCACCACAGCGAAGGTGGATGTAATACTCTACCAGAGCATCATCGGTGGTCTATGCTACCTAGTCCACACGAGGCCAGACATTGCGTTCACCATGGGCTACGTCAGTCGCTTCATGGAGGATCCCAGAGAGGATCACTGGGCTGTGGTGAAGCGGCTACTACACTACATCAAGGGGACGATGAATCATGGGATCATCTTCCCAAAGACCGACGAGAGTAGGCTGCAGCTCACGGTGTTCAGCGATGCAGACATGGTGGGGGACATCGACGGATGATAGAGCACCTCTGGCATGCTCGTCTTCCTCGGCTCGGCCCCAATTTCATGGTTGTCGCTGAAATAGAAGGTGGTGGCGCTATCTATGTGCGAGGCAGAGTACGTAGTGGCGGCCACGGCGGCGTGCCAAGTTGTGTGGCTACGCCAGCTGCTGGGCGAGCTGACCAGTGCGGAAGCTCACCCACCAGCACTGATGGTGGACAACCAGCCCGCCATCGCCCTCGCGAAGAATCCGGTTCTACATGACTGGAGTAAACACATCGATGTGAAGTTCAACTTCCTTAGGGACTATGTTGATGTTGGGCAGATCGTCAT